GCAGGTCAGGCAGGCAGGTGTCTGGGTGGCCACGGGGGTCAGCCCAGGGCTGTGCTATGCACCATGCCCAAGCCCAGCAGGGGTGGGGCTGGTCCCCTCCCAGGTCAGGGCAGGGGAAGGAGGGCTTGCCCTGAGGACAGAGACAATGACTGCCCTGTCAGTGCCACTGCCTTTCTGTGCTTGACCCATAGCTGGCCCTCCACAAGTGACTGTGAGTGTGCAAGTGGCTCCCTGGCTCACATCAAAGATCTCGAAGCCAGCGATGTCCAGGACTCCTATGAAGTACTGGCGTGGCTGCTTGGTCTCCAGGGTGGCGTTGATGCGTGTCACCATCCAGTTGAACATTTTCTCATACACTGACTTGGCCAGTGCTCCGATGGAGTAGTATACCTGCTGCACGCTCTGCCCCTTGGTGACATACTCATTGCCTACTTTCACCCGAGGGTGGCACAGCCCCTTGAGCAGGTCAGCTGAGTTCAGCCCCATAAGGTAGGCGGACTTGTCAGCATCTGGTTGAGAAAGAGAGAGTGAGCACTTACAAAGATCCTCCCTCCCTGCTTCAATTCACTTCTAGTTAGTGCAGCTGTGGGCATGGGAGAATTCCCTGTCTGCCCAACTCCCTTGTGTCTCTGTCCTTCCCACCTGTCAACCCATTCCTCTGGCCCCCAAGCCTCAGGTCCTCAGGAATCAGCCCGTCTGGGGACCATGAGTGGCTAGAGGCCTAACTGGGCTCTAAATGAGAAGAAAGCCTGGATTCAGGGCTTGCCCCTTAGAAAAGGCCAGGCTCTCCAACCATCTACTTCTCCTGATTTCCTTTCACTTTCTCTAATGGGGTCCAAACAAGCCTGTTTTCAACCTAATTCCTTAAGAATTGTTGAAAGGACCTTTGGATACAGCATGGGAGACCCAGCTCCCATGACCGTCTCTGGCATGATAAGTCAACAGGCCCCTTTGGCCTAGTCAACACCTCTGACCGCCTGCCCTGCTCACCTTCTGTGCCGTCAGGCTCCGCCTGCTCCTCCCGCTGCTTCTGCTTGAACTTCATGTTTCCGTAGTGCATGATGGCGCCCGTCAACTTGTAGACACCGGCTTTCTCCTCTGGAGTGAAGCCCAGCACGTCAAAGGCACTCTGGGACAGAACCAGAAGTGCAGAGGGAGGTTGGAGCAGTGGCCAGGAGCTCTCAGGAGCCCTCACAACACCACCCTGGCCTCCTCACTCACATCAGTGGCCATGAGCTCCTCAGAGTCGTCGATGGAGGCCACGGACACTTCTCCCTGAGATACGAAGGCGTAGTCGTAGGGGTTGTTGGTGACCAGCAGCATGTCTGTGCCAGGCAAGGGAGGGCAGGGCAGGGACAAGGAGATAGGGACAGGGCAGGGAAGGGAAGGGGGAGGAGAATGGAGGGAGAACGGAGGAGGAGAGGAAAGGGAGCAGGAAGAGAAAAGGAGGATCAGCAAGGACCAAGGAGAGAATCCAGAGGACATGAAGACCTACATGGGGGGGGAGGCACACCTGAGGTCTCAGCAAGAAGGAAGAGGGAGGATGGCCGGGAATGGCGTGTGGAAGAAGGGAAGGCAAGTGAAGAGAAGGAGAGAATCAACCAGAAATGAGGAGAAGAAAGGTGCCAGGGGAGGTGTGGAAAGAAGCCATTGAGAAGGAGTAAGGAGTGCGGTGGTGTAGTGGGGAGGCAGGAGACTCAGGGTCCCAGGCGGGGGAGGAAGAGAGTGAGCAGAGGGAAGGGAAGCAGGCAGGTGGGCAGAGTGAGGGGAAGGAGATCCCGCACTGCACACAGGTGGGCTTTGGGGTAGGCAGTGGGGCAAGGGTGCAGGTGGGGCTCACCCAGCAGCTCTGGCTTCTTGTTGGACAGGATCTGGTAGAAGATGTGGTAGTTCCTCTCAGACTTTAGCTGGAAGATCACCCGGGACTTCTCCAGCAGGTCTGAGGTGGGGAAGGTGGAGAAAGGTGAGGTGGGAGAGGAAGGGAAGAGAGGAGAGCCAACAGAAGGGTGGAGATGGGGAGAAAGGCTCCTGCAGAGCAATAGCTAGACCCACGGGAAAGACTGAGTTAAAGAAAAAAAAAAAAAAAAACTAAACCCATAAAGCAGATGTCGACCTAGAGAGAAGATGGATGGAATGAGGAGGTCAGGGTGCGGCCGGGAGGGCAGGCAAAGGAGAAGGACTCAGAGGACAAGCAGGCTCTCTGCTGTTACTCACAGGTCTCTATGTCCGCGGAAGCCAGCTTTCCAGTGGCTCCAAAGTGGATCCTGATGAATTTCCCCTGTGGGCAGATGGAACAGTGTAAGGGGACTGGCCAGAAGGGACAGAGTGAAATCATGCACCTCAACTCAACCCAGAAACCCTGGTGGTTGTGGAATGTAAATGACATATTCGGTATCTCTTTTCCATTTTCAGTAAAATGGAAAACAGTGCCAATGCCCAGTGGGGAATGTGAGTGGAATTAGCAGCCCAGGGACTGACACAGGGAGAACTTCTCCTGTTTATGCCTCTTACATTCTCTCACGTAATCCCATCAGTACTATGCAAGGTAGACGTCATGGCCCCCGCTTCACAGTGAAGGAACTGGGCTCAGGGAGGTGTGGGAACTTGCTGAGCACAGAGAGTCAGGCCTTTGGCTCCAAAGCCTGTGCTATCTTCCTATGTCCATTGTGGAAGAGCTTTGGAGATACTCGTAATAGAAATCTAAAATATGACCCAAATCATTTCTATTACTTGGCTAGAGAACAGTTATGGTGACTCTGGGCCACTTTCCTTGGGTTCCCAGGACAGGATTGGGAGGATTTGTGTGTATGCACATGCTTGTTGATATCCCAAAGCTAGACACAGTACAATCAACTGAGTGTGCCCACTGTTGGCAAAACAGCACCCCCTTCTCTTGTCAATTCTGAATGAGGCCACTTGGCAGTGGTCAGGGACAACTCACGAAGCGGGAGGAGTTGTCGTTCCGGACGGTCTTGGCGTTGCCAAAGGCCTCCAGAGCAGGGTTGGCCTGGATGATCTGGTCCTCCAGAGTGCCCTGTGAAGGGAGCAGAACCATGGGCATTCATCCTCTGTCCACTTCTAGGTGGTGGTGGGAGGGCAGCAAGGCTGCTCTGGCCCTGGGGGGTGAGGTGGGGCTGGATGAACTGCTGGTGTGTCTGCAGCTCCAAAGAGAGTCAGACCTCAGATTTCAGAGTGTGACTCCTGCTAACAAGGTCTTCTACACAGTGTGGACCCTCAGGAGCCCTGCTTTGCCCCCAACGCCCTGCCCCCTTCTGAACCTGTGAGCCAGCCACACGACACCTTGTTTGCATTGGGATTGTCCTTCTTGCCACGGTCACCTATGGCTGCAATACTGGCAAAGTACTGGATGACACGCTTTGTGTTCACAGTCTTCCCTGCTCCGGATTCTCCACTGGGGATAACAGGGACCAATCAGAACCCAGGATTCTTGCTGTTGTTCATACAGAGCTCAGCATTTGCTTTTCCCTTCCCAGTCTAAGCAACCAGAGTCCAGCACAGTATAGGATTTTCCCTTGAGAAAGAGTCCAATACTCTACACTCCCTGCAATCACAGTCTGGATATACCACCCCCTCCCCCGTAGGTGGATGGCACTTGCTCACGTGATGAGGATGGACTGGTTCTCCCGATCTGGAAGAGAAAGAGGAGAGGCAATGCAGTGAGGGCTGAGGGCTCAGCTGGGGGTTGGGTGGGCAGGCACAGGGCAGGTGCAGGGCTCACCTGTCAGCATGTACTGATAGGCGTTGTCAGAGATGGAGAAGATGTGAGGTGGGGCCTCGCTCCTCTTCTTGCCCCGGTAGGCAGCCACCACCTCGGCATTGTACACTGGCAGCCACTTGTAGGGGTTGACAGTGACACAGAAGAGGCCGGAGTAGGTCTGGAGTAGGAGATAGGGCTGGGCATGAGGTTAGGGAAAACAGGAAGACTGGGATGGACAGTGGTGACAGGCAGGAGCTTTTCTAGTTATTCCAGCCAGTTTCTCTTTTTCTGCAGCTGACCAGGGATAGTGGGTAGGAAGAGACTGGGTCCCTTGGGAAAGTCCCTATCCCTTTTGTTTCAAAGGGTTCTGCTGGCCTACTAGGGCCTCCATCCAGGACGAGGAGCCCCTGCAGTGTGCAGCAGCCACTCACGTAGATCATCCAGGCTGCGTAGCGCTCCTTGAGGTTGTACAGCACCGCCGGCTCATGCAGGAAGGTCAGCATGGCCATGTCCTCAATCTTGTCAAACTTGGGTGGGTTCTGCTGCATCACCTGGTCCTCTTTCACGGTCACCGTCTAGAGAGGAAATGGGTGGTAGGACAACCAAATTCCCAGCCTGTGCTTGCCAAGTAAGGCTCTGCTCCCCTAGCTCTTCCAGCATCAGGGTTCTATCTTCTAGCTACTATAGGACACAGTCCCCTGATAATTTTCCTGCTCACAGACTCTCTACCCTAGAGACTGTCCTAGGACCCTTTTATTTTGCCAGTTCTCCAGGCCCTATCCAATGATCATCACCCCCATCCCTATGTTTTAAATATCTAGAGGCAAACCTGGGTACTGGCAGCTCCAAGATACGTGCCCACCTTATGTGTTACCAGGAGTTGTCTCTTGGGGTCTGTGTTCCAGGGCAGTGTTTGCTCAAGGCAAGGGTTTTCCCTACTGGAAGAACAACTTACAGACCCTACACACTACATGTACCACTGTTGGTGTGGTTTGATTGGCATTAGTTAATTTGCCATGGCCTGACATATTAGATCCTGTCAGTAGGTATTGCAGCATTTTTTTATAGTGGTGGCTGTGGCTCTCAACAATTAAATGATTTGCCTTCACAGTGACCAGGTAGTGGCAGAGTCAGGATAAGAATCAAAGCAAGGGCCCCATGGGTTTTGGCCCGTTATCACACACCTCAGTGGATGCAACATTCAGTCAGCAATTCTGGGAGGCACACAGCTCTGAGCCCTGCCGGTGAGCTGTGGTGATTCTTGTGGCTAGAGTGAGCAAGCCAGGAGCAGGGGTTTCCGAGTGACAGTCACTGGCCCCAGTACTGAGATTTCAGCTCAAAAGTTTCTGCTCTATGTTCATTTGGATCTAAGAGTTGGCTCTTGGTTTGTTTGAGGAGAATTTGAGAAAAGGAACGAGTAGAGGAAACTGAGGCACAGAGAGGAGGGGTGCAAGTGCCAGAAGGGGGAGCTTCTTTGTTTCTTTTCTTTTCTTTTTCTTTCTTTCTTTTTCAGTACCAGTTATTAAACCCAGGGGCACTAAATTGCTGAGCCACATCCCCAGTCCTTTAAGTATTTTTATTTAGAGACAGGGTCTCACTGAGTTGCTTAGACCTCACTAAGTTACTGAGATTGGCTTTGAACTCTCAATCCTCTTGTCTTAGCCTCCCAAGTGCTAGGATTATAGGCATGTGCCACCATGTTCTGTGGGACAGGGGAAAAGGGCTTCATTTAATGGTGTGTCTGTGCCTTATTTATCTACAAGACCTCTCTGAGGGGGAAACAGTGAACCCCCTGCACCCCTTCCAGCATCCTCTTTGGCAAGCGGTATGCATCCCTGGGGTGACATCCTGATGCATCTGCTCAGAGTCCTCTGAGAAGGCTCAGATGCTGGGCTGTTGAGGGAAATGACCTTGCATCCCAGCTCTCTCCTCAGGCCTTCAATTCCCACTATAGGTAGCTCCAGTCCTGCACTTCCCACCCCCCCAGGAACTTCCCCCCTGCCCCGACACTGTGCCCCCACGCACCTTGCCATTCTCGGTCTCAGCAGTGACCTTGCCCCCTTCCCGGGACACAATCTTGGCCTTGACAAACTCTTCCTTGTCATCTGGCACAAAGCACTCAGTGCGGATGTCAAAGGGCCTGGTCTGGGACTCCAGACGCTCCTTCTCTGACTTGCGGAGGTACTGGGCTGCTGCCCCAAAGTCAGCCATCTGGGCGTCAGTCATCTTGTCGCTCTTCTGGTCCAAGACAGGAGGGACCTGTTATTTCTGCAATGGGCCCAGACTTTGGTGGGTGGCCTTGTCCTTTTCACCCCTACCTCCTGCCCCACCTCTTTCCCATTGCTTTCCACCACAGCAATAGGCCCTTGCCTAGGCACATGCTGAACGCCCCCCCGCCCCCCTCCCCACCCCTGTCCTGTCCTGGGAGTTCTGCTTTCCTTGCCCTCCGAGGTCACCTGAAGGTGGATTTCAAAAAGGGGTTTCTGTAGGTTCGGGTTGACTTGACTTTGCCAAGGGAAGGTGCTAAGCTGCTTAGGGGAGAGACTGAGGACCCTGGTCCAGTGACCTGGCAGGAGAAACCTGATCTGCTGTTTACAGAGGAAGTTGGGGGGGGGGGGGGGGGTCACCTGGGTAGCTCTTCTCAGAGAATCCTGAAGAGTTGGGACCACAGGTGGAGCGAGGCAGCCCAGAGGTGCAACAGGATAGAGAGAAGAACAGACAGGAGAATGAACAAGAGGTGCAGGCCAGCTGGGAAGAGGAGACTTGACCCAGAGAGCCAGACTGTTCAGAAGAGACCAAAACAAGGAGTGAGGCAGAGAGGGAGAATGAAAGAGCAAAACAGATGCAAAGGGGCTGGGGGCGCGGCTCAGGGGTCCAGCACTTGCCTAGCATGCCACCAAACTCCAGCATTGGGATGGGGTGGGGGTGGGGAGAGGGAGAGAGAGAGAAAGGAAAAAAAAAAGGGTGAAGAGTTAGTAAAAGCGTGAGCCATGACATGTGGACACAGAGTGAGACACAGAGAGGCAGATTAGAACACAGCCAAGAGGGAAGGGCCAGGGAGAGAGCAGGTAGAGAAGCACCATCTAGACAAGGACTGGTAAAGACCAAGAAGCCCGATAAGATCAGGACCAAGGGAAGGAAAACACCCAAAGGAGGGAAAGGAGGCAGCGTGTGCAAGACTCAGAAAGGTGCAGGAAGAGAAATGGAGTCTGAGAAGAAAGAGGGCTGGTGTTGCAGTAGAAACACACTCTTGAAGGGAACTTCCTAAGCTGGAGGAAGGCAGCTGTAAAAGAACCCATGGGCCCCCCAGTGGACCCGCACCCTACTCCCAGGAAGACAGGAGCCCTCGAGGGGAGCTGTCTGCACCGGCTGCAGAGCCCTCATCCCAAACTCCCTCTTACCTGTGTCGGACGAGTCTCTGTGTGTCCACAGAGCTCTGGTTCCTTTATATCTCACTTCCCCCACCCTGCTGCCTAAATTTGGAGTCCTTCCGGAGGGACCCTCTCCTCCCACCTCTCTTGCCTCCTGGCTCCTCCTCCCTTGATCCCTTTGGCTCTGAAGGTGACAGGAGGACAGCAGGGCCCCCAGGTTTGCCCATGAAAGGTTCGTTGCCCCAGCCCCTCTGGTTCCAGGGCCTTTTTTTAGTCCTTGGACACATTCCTCCCCTCCAAAGGGCTGATGGGCAGATAGTGAGAAGACAGGACCATTTCGCACCACCTCCCCCATCCACCATGGCCTTTACCTCAGTTATTTTTAATCTGAAGAGTGAGTTGAACACACTGGGCGAGGGTCACCTTCTCTTGCAGGACAAATACTTGTCCCCTATCCCTCAGTCACAGACCCCCCCTCCTTGGTTCCCTACCCTCTGCTTTCTACATTGCCTGTCCTCACACAGCCTCAGGCTGAGAGCATCTCCCTACTCTCTCAAACCTGGAGTCCCACAGTTCTGGGGTCTGGGGGCTAGAACCAGGATGCCCAGAGAGGACATCAGCTCCCTGACTCAGTTTCCCTTCATCAGGAAAAGAATTTCTGTCCTGCCCTTACTCTGCCCAAAATGCTCTGCTTGGTTTCTATCCCTCAAGTCTCCAGCCAGGTGTTCTCTAGAGAACTTGAAGCTGCCTTGATTTGGGGGCACATCTGGGGCTCCCACCCCACTCCTGGTGCTTCTGGTACAGTGGCTGTCATCCAGCTCCCTCATACAGTGAGGTTTCTCCCACACAGCCTCAGGCAGACTTGCACAGAGACCTACAGTCTAGTACCTTCACATATAGACTTGACCAGCCATAAGTCCATGGCCATTTTCAGCCATACACATGCAGATTTTTCACTTACCCACTTAAGCTTGCAGATTTCCCTTCTTGCTTTTATGCACATTAATGCACACATTTGCCCACCAACATTTGCACACATAGGTTTTTACTGTCCCACTGCCATCCTTCGTTCCTGGTGGAGAGGTCAGAGGCATTAATCCTGGGGCCTGAGGGAGGAGGGGTGGGGGTGGGGGGCTGCTCCCTTCCGCCTCTCTGTGCTGCCAGAGGGTGCAGGTGCTGCTGAGGATGGCTGGGGCGCCTGGCAGTCCTGGGGATTTACACCAGCTGGGCCCCAGGCTCTGCATTCCAGGGGTGTGGGGCTCTGCAGACGGCCCTCCACCCCAGGTAGAACTCTGGTGTCCCCTCCCAACCTTTCTGGAGCCCATACTCACATGGCTTTCTTCATGACGTCCTCAAGTGTCCAGGCCCTCAAGGCACCCCTCCCCATCCTCCAGTGTCGCCACCTCTCAGAGGCTGTAGGTATTGGGTCTTCAACAGGCCGTGCCTGTTATGACTAAGTGGACATTGTGTTCAGGAAACAAAGCCAGACTCCCCTGCTCTGGCTTTCCCCTACACCCTCACACCCAGGAACAATCTCCCAGCTCCCCCCTCCCACGCCATCTACTATCACCTCTCAATATAGCTCTAGGGTGTGGAGGTGGGTAGGACAGACAGGGGTCAGCCTCTCTGGGTAGGAGCACTCTCCATTAAAGATGTGACTTCCCCCCAAGGTCATCAACCCCCTAGGACACTTCACTGCCCCATTATGGGGATCAAGAACATACATCTCCCACCAGGGGAAATATTACCCTGTATTCAGTGTCCTTGAAGGGACCTGAGTTGATCCCACATCCCCATCTTCTGCAGGTGCATATGCCAAATTGTTATTCCCAGGGGATGCAGGCCACCTGTTCCCAGCTTTAGGTCACTCAAGGTGCCAGTATGCAAACTGGGGGTTAGCCCATGACCCAGTGCGTCACTGCCTGCTTCCCATGGCCCTGGGGACATGATAAGGGGCTGAGAACACCAGGTCAGGTTGGGTCAGGTCCAGGTGACAAAGACCAGGCTCTGTCCTCAGGGAACTCAGTGCACCGAGCATGCCAAACTTGGTATAGGTATGGATGGGAAGGGTGAAGGTGGGCAGGCGGTTCCTGTTTCTCCTATGGAAGGAGGAAGAAGGAAGGAGTTAACTTGGCTCCTGGCTCTACCCCCCTGTATGGTCTGGTTTGCCCTCCTCCTCCTTTGCTGGGCCCCCTCCTCTTTCCTGGCTCTCACATACTCTTCTCCATCTTTCTTCAGCTGCTTCCTAAACCAGCTCTGCATTCTGCTGGGAGTCCTGGAGTGTGCAGGCACAGGAGAGAGCCTCCAGCACAGGTGAGGGGGACCAGGAGGCAGGGTCTCTTTGGCGTGGGTAGCCCCTTTTCTGCCTGGTTCCCTGTGTCTGTCTGTCTGTCCCTGTGTCTGACCTTTTTTTCCCTCTGCCTGGTTTCCCATCTCAAAGTCAGCCCAGGCCTCTGCTTCTTCTGGGCCCATGTCTGCCTGTCTTGGGGTCTGACATGAGGTTTGCCCTGTCTAGGTCAACCTCTTAGAGCTCTCAGCCTGTATCTGCCTTTACATCTTGTTCTGGTTCCTCATCTACCTCTCTCCTGCTTATTCTCCTCCTTGGTTTTCCTGACTCTTGCATCTGAAGGTGACCAAGGATTCTTCCCTTCAGCCACTGTCACTTCCTGCTCTTTGAGCTTCTCTGTGTGAGGCTCCCCTCATTTCCTCTTCTCACCCATCCCCTCTCAACCTCCTCCTTCCCCCAGAGACTCAACCTGGGGCCTGCCCTTGACTTTGCTATCTGTACCCAGACTGGCAGTCTTAGCAGCATCTGTAACTCTTGCTCTATTAGGTTCTAGATCTTAGATTCCCATAACTTTTCCATGTATTTCCATCTTCAAATGTGTCTTTCTTTTTCTCTACTCATCTCTTCATTACTCTCCAAGTCTGTTCCTAGGAAGGGGAGAAGTGAAGAGGGAGCCAAGAGGAAGCTGAGAGGGCTTGGGTTCCTTCTAAGGCTTCCTCATGTCTGGTCTCTCTTTTTTCCCCATTTCCACTGCTCATGCTGTCCCTGGGTTCTCCTTCTCTCTCTTGACAGTACCCCCTCAGCCCTTTCCTTTTTCCATCCCTGTGCCCTTTAAATGCCCTCCCCTCACCTGCTATTTTCAATACTGCTGTCCCCTCCTCCATGGCATAGTGCCCTTGCTCTGACTGCTTCACTTAGTGCTCAGAGTCCAGGGAGGACTGGGGAACGGGAACTGGCTGTGCATGGAGTATGTGTGTCCAGAGGTGGGGGTGAGGGATATTCAGTCCAAGGCTGACCAGGTTCCCAGAGGAGCTAAGGGTCCCATTGTCTCTCAGGCCCACAGTCCCAGGCCCACCCTAAGCAGCCCAGCTGTGGCAGTAACTCCAAGAAGGCTGGGCTGCTTTCTTGAAGGGGCCCTTTCTCCTTCCTCCACCTCCCAACCCTCCAGGGACCTGTACCTTCCCTCCTCCTCAGCGTCTTGCCTATTGGCCTTCCCTAGTCCCTCCTCTACTCCTTCCTCTGCCTACTTCCTCTTAAGAAGGCTTGCCATGCATGGGCCAAAGAACCCCATCTCCCAGCAGCTGCTTAAGGGCAAGGCCTTGAGAATGGAAGTTACAGTGGGGAAATAAGGGAGAAGAAAGGAGTACCTGGAATATGGGGCTGAGCCCTGGGACGAGAGAGAGAAGAAAGATAGCTATACTGAGGGTGCTTTTCTCCTGGCTGCGGTAGGGAGAGGCCTGGGCCCTGTGAGGGATGGTGTTGGAAGGGTTCGTGGACTACAGCCATGTAGAGGCTGTGTTCTCTGAGACATGCCAGGGGCTGCAGCATAGAGGGCCATCACTTCAACAGCCTGCGTGGCCCACACCTCTGTGTGGCACTGGTCAGCCCCTTCACACTAAACCTCCTCCCCATGGCCCAGATCCAGATAATACCAGTGTCGGACGGTGTTGACTGGGGCTGAGGTGTAGGACTCAGTGTGTTCTAGGTGAGATTTAGGAGTTTCCCTAAAGTTCCTTTTACCCTAAGGGATGCTAGACCAAGAAGAGGGCTGGAAGAACAGGTGTCCCCCCTCTGTTGATTTGGCTGGGTGGGGAAGAAGATTCCATGGGCCAGTTCTGCTGCTAGGAGGGTTCAGAGCCTCACAGACTCCATGGAGAAGCCTCCTAGCCTGACTTTTGAAGCTGCCCCTCCTCCTCTAGAACCCTACCCCACTCCCATCTGGGCCCCATGGCTGTCAGGCAGTGAAGAACAGTCTAGAGGCAGGATCTCAGCTTCAAGGAAAATTGCTTTATTCTGCATCCTCCCAAGGGGCTCTTATAAAAGGCGCTGTGTCTGGGTCTTCATTGGCACCCCCAGGACTGGATAGATCAAGATGTGGCAAAGCTATTCCTCATTCAAGCCCTTTTGAAAAAAAAAAAAAAAAAAAAAGTCCAAATTAGCTCTGGAGAGACAGGCACTGTGGGCAGGGGGCACAGAAAACAAAGGTGAGACCAGGGCATGGATGGAAACCCTGAGGTGGGTTTCCACTATGAGTGGGAGGGGGGAGTTCTGGAGGGTCGAGCTCTGGGGTGGGCCAGAGGGAAGCTTCCTGGATGAGGACAAGGTGGTACTCTGGGATGTCCTTCTGATGCTTGAGTGGCAAAGTCAGAGGCCACTCATGTGGGAGGGAAATGAATCTAGCAGTTGGGGGGGGGATTGGAATATATTGGGTGTAGGTAAGTTGGGGTGTTGTAGGCTGGATGACCATTCTAGGGCTGGGATTTACAGGTCATTGAAAGTTAGAATTTTAGAAATCACAGGGAACTCAATTGTGTTGGCTTCTGGGGCTTTCTGGTTCAAGTAGGGAATAAATGAAAAGGAGGCAGCCATGGGTGTGTGGGTGCTCTGTCTGAGGCTGGAGGAGCAGGTGCACCTGCTGTTGGAGGCAACAAGTGCAGCTCAGGGGAGGGACCCACCTTGGTGCCAATGTCACGGCTCTTGGCCCGAAGCTTGTTGACCTGGGACTCAGCGATGTCGGCCCGTTCCTCTGCCTCATCCAGCTCGTGCTGCACCTTGCGGAACTTGGACAGGTTGGTGTTGGCCTGCTCCTCCTATGGGGAGTTGGGGGATGTGAGGATGAGGTAAGACGGGGCCTGGGCTCTCATCCTCCAAAGAAGGGGGCCAGCTTCCCTTGGTCCCTCCTCCAGGCCTTGACCCCAGCAGGGTCACTCACCGCCTCCTCAGCCTGGCGCTTGTAGGCCTTGACTTTGAGCTGTAGCTTGTCCACCAGGTCCTGTAGCCGCAGCAGGTTCTTCCTATCCTCTTCAGTCTAGGGGTCAAGGGTGGCAGAAGTGAGGCTGGTACAGTCATTAGGGGCAGCATCCTACCTCCAGCTTCTCTTGTCTTCTTTATCCTGAATGTAATATCCTGAACTGATTCTATTTTCTGATCCACACTAAACGCTTGAATTCTCCTTATAGTTTCTTATCCAAAAGTGTGAATATTGCCAGGTGTGATGGTGCATGCCTGTAATCTCAGTATCTCTGGAAGCTGAGGCAGAATTGTGAGTTCAAAGCCAGCCTCAGCAATTTAGCAAGGCCTTAAGCAACTCAGCAAGACCCTGTCTCTAAATAAAATATAAAAAGGGCTGGGGATTTGGCTCAGTGGTTAAGTGCCCCTAGGTTCAATCCCCAGTACCAAAAAAGAAAAAATATATTTTAAATGATGTGTACCAGGAAGGAATACAAGGAATGGATGGTGGGATTCCTGAAATCATGCCCTAAATTGTGTGTGTGTGTACTCTTCTATGGAGCAGGCTCATGAAGGTCAGGACCTCATAGAGGATAAACTCCCTGGCTCTGGAGCTCAGGAGTGACTTTGGGGATGTGAGCATGATGGAATTTCCTGAGCTGCAATGGAGTGATTTAATCTAGGTTAAGGACAAAGTGTATTTACAGGAATGGTGACATACTGGATTAGTAGAGAAACGAATTCTAATTGAGAGTCTGATTTTAGAACCATGGAAATCTGGAGGGTACTGTCCTGAGTAACTAAAACTTTGAGATTTGTTTGAAAGGCTTTGGTATGGCTTTGGTATCTTTTGGGGTGAGCGAGGCTACACATTTGTTTCCCGGGGAGCTGTGCTGGGTGAGCCCTGTCTGGACCCCTGGGTGTATCCCCAAGGTATGGGTTGAGGGTGCATGTTGAGGTGGTGCACACAGGCTAGGAAAGTCAGAGACTGATGTCTGGGCCTGGGGACACCCTGGTGAGGCAGGGCTAGGCAGAGTGAAATAGGGCAGCCAGGGGCTGCACTCAACCCTTGCCCCAGAAAAGGTAAAAACAAACACTTCATTCCCTTGGGTGCTTGTCACTGTGGCTTAGTGGAAGGGCTAGAGTCACTGCCCTGCCCGCACCTGGTAGGTGAGCTCCTTGATGCGCCGCTCACTCTTCCTCATGCCCTTCACTGACTCTGCATTGCGCTTCTGCTCCACCTCCAGCTCATTCTCCAGCTCCCGCACCCGGGCCTCCAGCTTCTGCAGCTGCTTTTTGCCACCCTTGAGGGCGATCTGCTCAGCCTCGTCCAGCCGGTGCTGCAGGTCCTTGATGGTCTGCTCCATGTTCTTCTTCATGCGCTCCAGGTGGGCGCTTGTGTCCTGCTCCTTCTTCAGCTCCTCTGCCATCATGGCAGCCTGTGCACAGGAAAGCAGGGGTACATGGTGTGGTCAAGTCTTCACACCCTCACTGCCTAGCCCAGGGGACATGGGCC